AAGTTAGGCTTCGTCCCCCACCTCTTTCCCTCAAAACCCACCAGTGAAAATCCCTATTTTTCAATGGATCGATTTGTGTATAAAAAATAAAGATGCAAAAATTTTGAGTTCCCACTTCTCCGACATCGAATTGTCAGCCACCACCAGATGCAAAACTTCGATCTGGTTCCTTGTTCTCACTTCTTCATTCCTTAGATTTCATCGGATCCACCACTTTGATTTTCTGGAAACAGGTTTGAGTTTTGTTATTGATTTTGGTTTAGTTTACTTTCTGTTACCCCTTCCAGTTAGCCCCTTGATTGTGACGGTGATGCCGGAGCAGAAACGATAGTCGCCATCCAACGGGATAAATCTGCAAGAATACTCGGGGTTTAAAAAAGATCCTACTGATATAAGATCAATAAACATGGGTGTATTTTTAAAATGTGTTTTTAATTTTCAGTATGTGTGTATATGCGAATTTTGAGTAATAATTGAAGGCTGGTGGGTTTGAGTTGTAGGTTTTAGAATAGAGGAAATAGAGGTTGAGTTGAATGTTGTGCACACAGTCACCAATACAATCGTTCATGTTATGTAAATCGATCCTGATTATCTCATTAATCATCAATCATTTTTAACTTCTAGATGAACTTGTTCTTAATTACCGATCCGATGGTTTTTATTCTCCATTGTGTTCTTCAGTCACACCCACTGTTTGGATCGATTTATCATTTTGTTCTTATTATCGAATTAAATCTAGGGTAATGGCCTTTATAATTTGTTATCGATCCTTGTGTTCACATGTATTGAATCTGAACCCAATCATCATTTAGTTCGTACCTAAATCTTCATCTAGTCATCTATGTGTGTGTGTGTTGAGAGAGAGAGAGGGTGGTCCCTCTCTTTATTTATTAATTATTAAAATAGATAAATATATATTAAATTAAAAAATGAAAGAAAAATGAAAAATAAATACATGAGGGGCATTACAATCATTTCAGTTTACCGAGGGACCAAATACGCATCGAAACAAGGCCAAAATGACCACCAATCCAAAAAAGTTGAGGTTTGGACCAAACCTCAGAAAAAATACATACCACAGAGACCATTTTTGTAGTTTTGTCTAATGTATATTCTATAGTTGTTTTAAACTCAATCAATGTAATAGTTAGATTTACTTATTTACTTATTGGATTGGCTACTAGATTGTATTACATTGCAAATTATTCTATTTCATATTATTTATGTTGTAGAGACCAAACATGGATCCCAAAATAAAGGGTCATGGTCAAGGTGGAGTTTCCTCTTATAGGGGTTGGGGGTCAAGGAGAACAGCCCCCCCCCCCCCATGATCTCGGCTGTTGTGTCCAGTGACTGCAACTGCAGTGTCTTATACAACTTTAGGAGTGGCTACGGTGTAGGGTGGTTGTGTATGCGTCATGGGTCAACCTATTGATGAAGTCATTAGCTTGTGTGCTGATACCTTTTATGCAAAATTTAGATCGACTTACCCCTATATATAGATCCTTTATGAATTATTATAACCATAACCGATAAACAAAAGTTGAAAGTGATGTCTTTCTCTCTCTCTCTCTCTCTCTCTCTCTCGCTCTCTCTCTGTACGTGTGTGTGTGTAACACCCTGTTCTGAATCGTTTCCTAATTTGGGGCCGTGACCCGAAGATCGGTTATCATAACGCTTAGGGCCTTGTGGGGAAAGAGAGATTTAGACCCATTTAGATGTGGGTAGTGTATATTAGGTGATCCGAGAGTTCGGTTGGTGCTTTGGAGCCCAAGTATAACTATAAAGTGATAGTTCGAGCCTTTTATGAATTTTGGATTTAAGTTCGGTAAGTTTTAAGGAAAAGGAGAGTTAATAGGGTTGTAGAGCTTCTCAACACCTTTCCGTGGATATAAAGATCGTTGAAAACGGAGTTGAAACGAAGAAGTTATGACTTTTCGAAGTTGGCAAGGATTTGGGGGAAATCTGAGCTCACAACGTGAGCAATTGGAGATCACGACGTGAGAAGCGGTTAAATGGAAATGCTGATTTAAACTGTGCTCACGACGTGAGGATTAATGGCTCGCGACATGAGAACTGTGCAGCCCAAGCCCACTAGTTTTTAGGGTTTTCAACATATATAAAGGTTGGTTCATTGTTTTTGGGGCATTTTATGAGCCTCCGTCATATCTAGATAATCTTGAGAGAAACCCTAACCTCCCTTTCACCATTTTGAGCCTCCCATTTTCTCTTCCATCCATATATGGAGATTTTGGTGCTTTGAAGAAGAAGATGTTCTTGGTGCTTAGATCCAACAAGCTAGCCCCCTCACGACCTTAAAGATCTTACCTTGGACCATGGTAAGTCCTTAAGTTCCAACCTTTATCTGTTATTCTTCTAGATCTAGAGTTTTGTCCATCTTATGTATGCTATTGCATGTTTGAGTGAAGTAGATCCATAAAGTTAGCAACTTTATGGATTCTAAGAGTCCCTAGATCATAATATTGTTCAGATCTAAAAGATGGTATGGATTTAAGGCATGCATGAAAGATTGAGCTCATTTAATCACTTTTGACCTACAAAGAGGTTGGATGATGCATGGTGCATGCATGACCATAAAGGAAACATTTTTATGGACCTTAGGAGTCCCCTTTATCTTCTGGATGAAATGGGTTCAAGGACTAATGGATTAAGGACTTAAAATGGTAACCTTTAGCCACAGACGACGCTCACGGCATGAGATGCATGATTTCACGACGAGAGATTCGAGGAGCCCCGTTTTCTGTTAAGATCATTGAAGCTCACGACGTGAGGAAGAGTGCTCATTTCGTGATGACAACTCATGTGAATTCTTTAACTGAGTTGACTAGTAGGTTGGACCGAGTCGAGTTGGAATCGGACTGAGAACTCTGTCACGACGTGACCACGGCTTAGTCACGACGTGAGTGTCAACTAATGGAAATGTTGACCGTTGACTTTGACCTTGACTAGGGTTGAACAAGTTTGACTAAAGGATATTTCTGGGTATTTTGGAATGTGTTGAGAATTGGTCATTTGGTTGGATAGGTGATAATTAGAACTGAGATTCAGAGTTGGGACCCCATCAGTTATCGTTCGGACTGTGAGGTGAGTTTTCCTCACTGTACTTACGAGTCGAAGGCACCAAGGCCGACCCGTTGGATTGATATCCTACTATATATATTGATATGCTGAGTATGGGATAAACTGTATGACTATATGCTAGTTGCTGACATGCTTAGACTGGTAGATTATCTGTTTGTTGCTTATGATTGTTATCTGTTATATGTTGACATATTGTGTTGGGTTGAGGTTGTACTGATTTGTGCTGTAGCCAACAAAACCTAGAGCATTCCAGATATGAGTTGAGGTTCGTGTAGGGCATGCCAGACTCATACTGAGGGATCAGGAGTATTCCAGATACGAGCTGAGGACCGGTTGGTATGTCAGACTCGTACTAAGGGCTTGAGGGTCTTCCAGTCCGATGATTGAGTGGACTCGCGGTATATTTGTATTCCAGTCTGATGACTGATTGGGCCAGGGAGCAAGCCATGCATAAGCTGTGGGCCCCGAGGGTAAGCCAGATTTATGTTGTAGGCTTAGGAGCAAGCCATATATGAGCTATGGGCCCGATAGGCAAGCCAGATATGAGTTGTGGGCCCGATAGGCAAGCCAGATATGAGTTGTGGGCCCGATAGGCAAGCCAGACTCATACTGTGGGCTCAGGGGTAATCCAGTCTTTTTGTTGTTGATCCAGTACATGCTGTTATTTGTTATTTTTGCGTGGTGGTACTTTGGGGGAACTCACTAAACTTTGTGCTTACAGTTTCAGTTTATTGTTTCAGGTGCTTCAGATGATTTTGGCAAGGCGAAGGCGTGACTGTACACATCCTTGGTTTTACGACTGATTTGATATTGGGAGACTCTGATTTTAAATAATGTTCTGGAAACAATGGTTTTGTGAACACGCTTATTAGTAAATGAGTTGTTTTGAAAAGTTTAAAATTTGTTGTAATTTTTGGGGATGTTACACACACACACACACACACACTCTCTCTCTCTCTCTCTCTCTCTCTCTCTCTCTCTCTCTTTCTCTCTCTCTCTCTGGGCAGACGCAAGAATACATATTCGATGTTGCCGAGGTTGAAATATGTGTTGCCGTTGAAGGAAAAGTAGGTAAAAGAGATCGAAAATCGAAATTTTTTTCACTGCGTATGTGGGAACTAGATGTTGCCGATGCCATACCGGGCACCTAGGTAAAACCGTCCCTCTCGTAGACATAGTTGAAAGTTGAAATTGCGCGAATCACATAAATCTTCATGTATTCTTTATTTTTCTTCGCATCTTTATTCCTTGTGCGATTTTTTTTGTTTGTCGAAATACTTAATTTCAAACACAATATATTTGTTTGTGGAAGTAGTTAATTCCAAAGATCATAATTTAGTGGTGATTGTTTCTCAATTAAACACTCAAAAAAGAATATTTACCGTTTAAAAAAAACAAAGACTTCAAACTAGAATGAATTGTTGTTAAAAGGAAGTTGCTTTTGCTATATTAATGTTTATTATTTTGGTGATGAAAATTGATTAAACATCAAAATTTTATAGCTGTTATTTTTCTATTTCCAGATTATTACACTCCTCTTCTCCATACTCTTACTACGAGTGTGTATTTATCCTTTTGGTTAGCTTAATTAAAAGTTTAGTCGATGTACCGTACATATATTTTCTACAAACATTAATATATTGCTATCCTCGTTTATATATGGTCAATACGATATCCCTTTCACGAATAAAACGTCACTAAGTATATACTGGATCTATTTACTCAGTTTATAGAAAATATGTTGACTGTTGATTTATTTATAATTTAAGATAATAATACTGACAACCCCTATTTATATTTCCCGATAAACATTTTACCATATGTTATTCCATGAATTTATGTGTGTTAAACTCTTACACTTACGGTGAATTGAACGATTTGATGTTAAAACTTATGATAGCTACATGTCATTACACATCAAATTTGAAGTGGCATACATAATTGACCCGAGATTCTTTAAAGTTTTACATACCTCTTACTTGTAGATCCATCCTAAATCTTCTTAAGATATGTCTTAAAGGCTATTGTCTCTATAGCACATTTCAGAATATTATTGAATTCACAGATCGTGACATATATACCATTATGCACTAGAGAATGACTTCCTTCCTGACAAATGTCGTTGACGAGTCTCATCAACAACCGAATGGCTTCTGAAGCACTTAGCCTCATGATTTTTCGCATTTCCCTCAACCCATTTCTTGAACTTCCTAACTAACCATTGCCTCTTCGGGTGATGTTGTCCGTGTCCGAAAAAAGGCTCATTGATGTGTGTCACACTCTCGTTATCCGACTCATGTCCTATGTACTCTTCTAGTGGCACAATATTTCCTCCAAACCCTGATCCTAGCTCGTTGTTCTTTTCGTTATCGGCTTTTCTTTCATTCTCGAGTTGATTCCTCCTTGTTAGCTCGTGCCTCAGGCATGCATGACACCATCGTAGGTATATCAATTCTTTCACTTCAGCTGCTCGTTCCTTCTTAAGCTGTTCTAGTTCGTTTACTACACGATTGTAGTTGTCCGAGAATATCCGTTCAGCTTCGGCCTCCAAAAAACACAAGAAATCTCATCACTTTCATTGTGAAAAAGGCGAAATAAAGAATAAAAAAAACATTTGTACTCTCATCATTATTTTGTCACTTAACTATATACTAAACCATTATACATTTTTACATGTATAAATACCATTTTCCTAGTTACGCGGTTGATATCGGCAAAAATACAAAGAGAATATGACATCTATCGTTTTAGCTATTACTCTATTATTATTTATAAATTTACCAACTAAGCTATTATTAGAATAATCATAATGGACCATATTTCATGATCGATGATAATACATTATGTTCTATATTTTCATAACCGCGTAACGGAAAAAAAAAAGCTTTTAAATGGTCAAAGTTATAATGGTCTAATTACTACCGACTAAATTGATAAAATTATAAATATATGCAATTTTTTATAACTGGCGCAAACTTAAAAGCATATTTTTACCTTCGACGAAATTGCTATTTCCGCAGTGTCTAGCTTGTTCGAAACCTCATCCTTCTCGTCTTGTAATTGACTGATCATGGCCCGCATTTCATCGACTTCATGTTTGAATCCCTCAAGCGCACTGTCTTTTCTTTTCAATTCCGATTCAATATCTAACATTTCTGCTTCTCGTGTTTTGATTTTCGAATTCTGATCGCTCATCAACTTTGAACTCTCTCTTGTTTTCTTCAAAAGTTTCTTGATCCTTTTTCGAAGCATACAGTTTTCTGTTCTTGAAGATTGGAGTTCATATAATGCGTTTAAATACTCGATCACCATCTCATCAAACTTTTTGGTCTCTACATCCATTGATGAAACCTCCCTTTCCAAGAACGCAGCTCGTTCTTTCTCTATAGCCAAGTTGTTCTGAATCTCCATTAATGCATACTCTTGATCTTTCAAGTTGATAAACTCAAAAAACCGGTCTTCGATCTCCCTTTCAAGCTTTTGAAGCTCTTCGATTTTTGTTTTGAGGTTGAGAATCTGCTCTTTGAGATGATTCCTATCGGATTCTGTTTCTTGGATTTTATCTTGAAAGGATGAAATCTTTCTATTTTTAATCCTAGCAATTAAAGAAAAAGCTAGAGGAATTCCAACCATGATCAAGATTGACTTGATCAACTCTCTTGATCCTGTGCTCTCCATCAATACTCGAATTTTTTGGGGTAATTAATCATGGATTTGGTTGTGTTATTGAAGAGGAAGAACAAAAAGTGGTGTTGATTTGCAATATTCGTGATGCATATTCTTTGCTTTTGTGTTATGCTTTAAGCTATCTTTTATGACATGTACCATTTATTTGGTGGCTTTTGGAGCACTTCATGTTCATGGCCACAAATGCCAACTTTTTGTGTTTTTGTTTCTCGTCAATTCGTTTTGGAATCTGGTTCCTTTATTGTGTTCATACTTCATAGACGACTGTCAATGTATTTTGTTTGTTTAATCTTGCACTAATAAATAAATCTGTAAAAATACTAACCATTTAGAGAAGAAAAAAAAAGATAATTAACTAATTAAGAGTTAAATGCATGAAATATAAGGAGGTAAAACAAACAAATAGTGTGACTGCTATTTTTCCAAATTCATCGAAAGTACAAATATTTAACTACAATCAAAGAAAAGAAATACGTTAATTTAGTTTTGGATAAACAAATAACGACGTTAAATCTAAAATACCCTTTTAATAAAAAATATATACATATAGTATTTTGGATCTTCTAAATTTGTTAAGGATTATAGAATATACACATATTAGTTTTAAATTTGTAATTTGGTTATTAACCATATAAAAATTACAAATACTAAACTTCAAGAAAATAAAATAAAAATGTTGATTTATTTTTGGATCAACAAAAATAACGCTAATAATTTGGTTCTTAACCATATAAAAAATTAGGGAACATGACAACTTAGCCCTACGATGTTTTTCACATTTGCCCATTCAGTCCCTTAAGTATTTATATGTTTTATGAGAGAATAAAGTATAAAGTGACTTGTCTTTTTAGTCCCCTTAACCTGAAATAACCGGTTCTATCTACCAAATAATTAATTGAAGATGATCTGGTTTGTAAAGTTCACAATGTCAGCTACCATAGTCAAAATCGAGGAATTGTAGAATGGAACACATAAACACACACACATACACCACTATCGTTTACATACTGAGTTACCCTACCCATGTTTCAACTTTCAAGCTCCGATCATCACCCTCTCTTTCCCAATGATTTTGCACAAGAGTACAACCTGGTAACTGTAACACCAAGTTTCATGAATAATTCTTTTAAGGTTTTATTTTAATTATATGGACTTTGTGTAGGCCACGACGTAGTAAATGATATGTCACGACGTGGCCATGGCTAGAAGAATCGTGTATTCATTTAAGATCTCATGACGTGGCATTATGTTGGCCACGACGTGAGGACGGTCAGATTGCTAAACCCTAACTTTTTGAGCTTAGGGCCCTATTTAAGGGATGTGATGGCTATGGTTTGCTCACCCTCAACCTCCATCACCTCCCTTTCACCCTCAAGAAACCATAGCCTTTATTTTGTCATTTGAGAGCTTTTGAAGGCATTTTTGGTGTTTTGAAGAAGAAGAAGAAGGATCCCTTGGTGCATAGATCTAGCAAGCTAACCTCCTCATCACATCATTGTTCATATTCTTGACTTTTGTAAGTCCTCAAGTTCCAAGCTGTATGTTTCATGCTTATAGATCTAGGCTTCTTGTCCCCTTTCTCCTTGTTTTTGAGAGTTTAAATGGTTAGGTTCCATAAAGTTGGCAACTTTATGGATCCTTGAGGTCCCTTGGTGGTTATAAGTTATGGATCTAAAGAGTTATAAGGTTATGAATTTATGCATGAGGTTTTGACCTCCTTTTCACCATTTTGGCCTAACTTGAGCTCAAGAAATGCAAAAGACATGCATGTCTATAAAGCAACGATTTTTAGGATGTTTTAGAAGTATGAAAGCATTCTGGAAAGTTTGGATGAGTGGGTAAAAGGATTTAGGGCATAATGGATTAAGTTGGCCAATAATAGCGGACACGACGTGGTGGGATGGCCTCTACGACATGGCGACAGGCAGCCTCCCGACTATTTTGTCTTAAGGCTACCACAACGTGGCAAAAACTTGGTCACCATGTGGCGACCGTCTGTGAGACTTTTGATTGTTGACTTTGACCGTTGACTTTTTGACCAAGTTTGACTTTGGTTCAATTTAAGGGTTTTGGGCTGTAGTTTACGAATTGGTCCCTGATTGTTGTTGTATAGGTGACCTGTTGAACCAGTTTTTTTGATTGACAAGAGCTGTGTTCAGGGCCGGTCCACACATATATGGGGCCCTGGGCGAAAAGAAAAAAAGGGTCCCTCAAAGACAAATATAATAAAGATTAAAAAAAAAATATCATTTATTTTTCATTATAGACGTGTTCAATTAGCAATAACAAGCAAGCCAAATTGTTTATTTTTTGAACTAACTTGAGTTTGAACCAACTTTAGGCCCTAAAAATCATTTAGGTAAGAAGATTATATATATATATATATATATATATATATATATATACACACACACACACACACACACTACATAGCCTAAAAGTTATGGGCCCCTGGATACGTGGGCCCTGGGCGGTCGCCCGGGTTGCCCACCGTCTGGACCGGGCCTGGCTGTGTTGTTATCTTCTAGACAGTGAGGTGGGTTTTCTCACTGTACTTTGTACTGCAGTATGTATCCTTGTGTGTAGGATGTTGGTATGTTGTAGTGATCTGTTTGATTGGTAGATCTGTTATGATTACCTATATTGCTGGTTATTGTCTGCTTGTTTGTTTAAGTGCATATGTCGACATGTTGTGGTTGGGTTGAGGCGGCCCTACTTTATGCTGTAGGCCAAGATACCCAGACGGTCCAGTGTATTGTAGGTCTTGTGAGGCAGTCCAATCAAGCTGTAGGCCCAAGGGAGCGGTCCAACTACTATAGGCCTTGCGAGGCGAGCCAGTAGACTGTAGGATCAGTAGAGCGGTCCGGGCATCTGGTACGCCTTGTGAGGCGGTCCAGACAGACTGTAGGCACATTTGTGTATGCATTGTATGTGTGACAACCCGATATTTCGAATCAATGTAATGACCTAAAAACCAAGAATGGTAATCTATTTTGATATATTGGAAATAGCGTCAAAAATAAAATATTCAAAAGTCTCAGTTGGGTTACACAAAATGATTGATATCATGACAAGGTTTACAGAAATATAAAGAACAATCAAATCGGAGTTATAACGAAGAAGTTATGACCAATCAAAGATTCGTGTCAAAACTGGTAAAACACTGTTAAACGTAAAAAGTGAAATTTCAATAAAGTACTTTTTAGCCTTAGGTATCTAAACAAAAGTCGTAGATAATAACAAACCATGAGCGTAGATAAAAAGAACGTCCAAATCTGACTTCGTATGAGGAAGTTATGATTTTTCTAAGTTTCAGAACAGCAGTAGACAGCTAAAAATTCGAAATCAAGATCGAACCATTTTTAGCCAACGCAATCTAAATGAGAAATAAAGATCTCGACAATAGTAGTACAACGGTAAAAAGACAGACGAAAACGGACATCGGATGAAGAAGTTATGGATTTTTAACGGAATTTTCCAGTCCCGGCCTGTTAAAGTATATAATTAAAAATAAAATCAAAATTAGCCGACGAAGTCTAAATGAAAGTTGTAGAGTATATTCTCACCTACGCGTGGATATAAAGAACATCAAAAACGGAGCTCGTATGCGAAAGTTACGGATTTTCAAAGATTTGGGCACACACTTCGAGGCTTATCCGAAGGATTACGCCCCGCGTACGAGGGTGCAGATGAAGGGCCTCAAATCGACGACGTCGCCCTAATGCCCTCTACTCCCGTCCCATCCGAAGACCGGCGACCGATGACGTCATCACTGACGTACACCCCGCGTACGAGGGTACGCCCAGCATACGAGTTGCGGACGAGGTACGCCCCGCGTACTTCAGAGTATGCCCAGCGTACGAGGCCAGTTTCCTCTCCTATAAATAGGATGCGAGGCTTCCGAGTTTTAGTTGCTAATTCACTACCTCCTCTCCCGATTTTCATACTTCTACTACCTCGAGGCTACCCCGACACCCCGGTTTCATATCCAAGCTCCGACGAAGGTCCGAAGCTCCGAGATTCCCGAAAAATTTACCACTTTCCGGTCGAAGTGCTTCCCGAGAAAAATCCTGTTTTCTTCAAATCACCACACTTTCCAGGTGAGTTCATACCCCTACATTTTCCAGTTTCTTTAGTTTTCAGGGGGGGGATACAAGTTAAAACACCAAAACATATTTGAAAACTTAACTTGACAGCTTACAACAGAAAAGTTGTGACCTGTTCACGAACTGTTTTACCCAACTTAAACTTAATATTTTTCAAAACTGTTTAATATGCAAATAGTTCAGGTTATACCTTTAAAATGACTACTTGCACATCTCCATACGATTTTTCTACAAATACTCTAAAACAGTGACAGTTAAGGGTAAAACTGTCAAACACAAGTTTAAGAGTTATTCACACCTTGTAACATGCTGAGCAAGGTGTGTAAGATTTACACTTAGTAGTTTCAATGTCCTTTTCGTTGAAATACAAAGTTATGCATATCAAGGTTTCATTAAAACATAACACACAACTGATAAACTATAATAGGTATAGCTTGAACACCTCATGTAACAAAGGAATGGTAATACTATCGATTTACAAAACGAGTGTTTCAATACAAACAACGTGAACTTGTTAATGAATAAATTTGTGAGACATTCACCTTCGGGGTACTCTTAAGTGCCACAGAAAAGTCCTGTAGTTATAATCAGAATCTCTTTGAGGAAGAGCGTGATAGTTGTGTATGGATCTATATTGGGTCTGACAAACCCGCACCTAAGCTGCTTGCAACAGCTAGACCGTCAGGTCTGGGGTGACAAGTGTCATAACATTCCGACGCCTGAAGAACGTCGAGTACGAGGTCTTCGAGTATTAGCATGGTTATAACAACTCACATGGGGAATTAACAAAACACACAGTTCATGGGAATTTAAGGATTTCACAAAAAGGAGTTTTATTTAAATATAAAACCACACATAAGTATGACGATTTACTTACATATACTAAGTCTCGATTAAGTTAAGACTACAATAAACCTTTTAGAAAATATTGGATTTTTTGGAAACAAACTTGTAACAAACTTTACGGAACAACATCCATTTTTCATTCATAAATTGCTTA